CCCACTGTGTCTGTGAAATGGGACACCACTCACAATGACTACTTGCTAACGCTGCTAATGCTAAGGGAGGCCTTGCCCTGCTCACCCACGGCTTATTACATGCCCCCCCATCTGATCCCCCAATTCTCCAGCCCCATTCCCCACCATGCTCTGCCCACTTTGCCCTCCTTACTAATCCTCCCAATCTCTTCCCACCTCGAAACCTTGGCACTTGCTGTGTCCCAGTGCCAGTGGTCCCAGATATTCAATGGTTCACTCCTTCGCTTCTGCTCAACTGTCACCTTTGTAGAGCCCCATCCTGACTTGTCCAGAATCTATTATAGCTCTCCATCGTCCCCTATCCCTTACCTGTTTCATCATGACTCACTGCACCTCACCATGTGACATGTTCTATATTTGCAGGCATAGTGGTCCTGCGTTGGGCTGCTTGCAAACCGCAAGGTCAGCGGTTCAAAACCATCAGCTGCTCTGTGGGCAAAAGATGAGCCTTTCTACTCCCCTCAAGAGTTACAGCCTTGGAAACCCTCAGGGGCAGTTCTACCTTGCGCTACGGGGTCCCTATGAATCAGCATCAACTTGATGGTAGTGAGTGAACTATCCATTAGAAGCCTGGGTGGCACAGAGAATTAAGTCCTCGACTACGAATCAACGGTTTGTCACCTGAACCCACCCAGCAGCACCACAGGAAAAAGTCCTAGCTGTCTGTCTGTGTGAAGATTAGTCCAGAAAACCTGATGGAGCGGTTCTACTGTGCCACATGGGCACCGTGCGTCTGAATCACGCAACAGCACTAATGACAACATCTGTCTATCACCTCTCTCCTCCGCTAATTAGAAGGAAGTCTTCACATGGGCCGCAGAGCTCATGCTCACAGCTGGGCCCCTAGCTTCTAGGGCACTCTACCCTATCTGCTCCACTGAAGCTCTGCGGGGCAACTCGCCCACAGCTGTAGAGTTGGAAGAGGCCGGGCTGGAACTCGGGACTCCCGGGTTCTAAAGCAGACCTCTGTACTCCTGAGGTCTCCCCTGCCATCTCTGACTCGACTTCTGGGGCTTTCCTGCTGGAAGGTCAGTCTCTGGAGGGGAGAGTGGCAAGAAGTTGCCCGGGGTTACTGAGGAGAGATCTGTCCTGCTGCCCAGAGCCCGCATCCCTGAGGGTGGGCAGGGACCCAGAGACATGCGACGGCCAGAGCTCCGTTTTCAGGGCCTTGCGCAAGGTAGCCAGGCCTTGGCCATCCATGCAGCGCCGGCTCCCGTGGGTCTCGGTAACAGGAAAAAACAGGCTGAGTCGGCAGCCCAACAGCTGTGGCCAAGGCAGCCCGCCCCCCCACCCCCCAGGGTTTTCCTCATCTACTTCCGTTGGGAGGGTGGAGGGGGGGGAGAGGGGCAGGGCAGCCAAGCCAAGCCCTTGGTAGGAGACAGGCCTGTGGGCCACAGAGCTGGAAATAAGAGGAAGGCTCCTTTCTTTTTTTTCTCCTTCCCCTCCTTCCTTTCTAGCAGTCTCCCGTTCTCTTTCTTTGTGGCCAAAGTTCATTCTGGACACGGATCTGAGGGGCGGGACTAGCTATAAGGGAGGGTCCTGCATACAATCCCATCTGGAAAAGGCTGGTTAATCACAGCGAGGCGGGTTTTCTAAGTCCTAAATGACCGGAACATCACGATAGGGGTGGGGGAGTGGGGCACAATGATTTCGCGTTCCCCAAACATGCTTAACTTGGAACTCTGACGTCGTGCGGGGCTCGTAGGACTGGGGTCCCCCAGACAATGTCGGGCACGCTCACCCCAAAGATACTGCCTTTCCGTCCACTGGCTGCTGCTGCGGTGGTTGTGTGGCTGCGTCAGCGGATGCTCACAGCAGAAGGGCTCCCCGGGGCTGTCTAGGCTGTAAGTGCCAGGGGAGCAGAGGGCCAGATATCCCTCCTGCAGAGCCCAGCATGTAACTGCCGTGCCACCAGGGCGCCTGGGCTGCCAAGTAGTTCACCTAGAATTGGCTTGAGATGTAAGCAGTGGCCTCCTGCCTGCAGCGCCCTGAAGCTGGGCTCCTGAAGACAGCAGAGCCAGGCCTGCTGACAGCGAGTGTTGACGAGGACAATCGGGCTAGTTAGTGATCGGGGCCTGTCGTCTCCTCTGCTCGGACACCCTGTCATTTGATGAAAAACCCATCAGGATTGTCTTTCTGCTGCTTTCATCCCTGGCTGCCAGTCTGTCCCCCACAGGTGGGGCAGTCAGTCCCTGGTCACACTGGTCCCCAGGAACTCCTGCCTCAGAAGGGCAATCTGAGCACTCCGAGAGCTCACCTGCTGAGTGCAGAGAAGTGGGGGGAATGGACTTCATGCGGGGAAGGGAGAGCACAGGGCTGGTCTTGTCCAGATAGCGGTGTGGACCATGAACTCCTAGCTGGCCTCAGTCGCTTGGGCAAGTCCTGCCTCACCTCTGAGCCGCAGGTCCCGCTTGCTGCGGGTCGGCCTGCACCAGGGGTTTCCATTCTGTCTCCGCCATCGCAGGGGCCACTTTGGAGCCTGAGTCAAGCAGAGGAGGAGAGTTTGGAGGGACACAGAGAGTTCGGGCTCCTCCTCCAAATGCTAGTTGGCATCAGCCCAGACAAATGCATCTTTTCCCCACTTTATACACAACGTGTCTGGTTCTGCTACTTACTAGCTGTGAGGCCATGGGCACGCACACAGCCTCAGTCTCATTGATGACAGGGGCACAGTGATTCACAGTCACCGGATCCCCTTCGTTGAGTTAAAGCTGTAACAACCAGCCCCGAGCGGCTGGTCTTGGACTGCTGGATCCTGACGGTGCTTTGGATTGAAATAAGAGTTGCTTCTGCTTAATCATAAGTTTAAAAGCTGCCCATTTGGATGATTCTAAAGATTCTGGCATTGGCCACTTGGACATTAACCCCCCCTGAAATGTTAGGATTCTAAATCTCCAGGCTGTGGCTCCCGCTTGAAAGGTGGGGCGGCAGTGGGGGCTAGAGGAGGGAATTATGGGTCAGAATCAAGCCCTAGGAGCCCAGCTGTGGGGACGGGCCCAGCAAAGGGTTATTATTATCATCACCATCATTTACTTATTTATACCTGCCCCTCCCACCCCACTCCCAAAAGATTCCAGGGGGCTTAGGAGAGGCACACAACACAGGGAGGAAAAACAGGCTCCGTGTGCACACGAAAACCCGGCACAGGGCAGGCAGGCAGAACCTGGAGTAAGGTGTATATGGAAAGCACTCGCCACAGCCCGGAGGCCCAGGAATGGCCATTCCTTTGGTGCTCAGCTTCCAGTGGCCAATGGGAAGGAGGAAACTTGGCCAGTCTGTAGGCTCTGTGTCCCAGGAGGTAAAAACCAACCTGCTGCTTATTCCTGATGCTAAGAGCAGAGGGCATTCTGGGAATCCCATTCTGCCTGGCATCCCCTTGTGGCCTCATCAGTGAGGAGTAGTCCACTGAACTGGCACAGAGGCTAAAGCAATTAGAGGCTGGCTGGAATGGTGGGCCCAGAGAATACCTTCACCATTTTCACGACAGCATCCCCGGGCTGGGCAGGATTGCCCAGCCCTCTCCAAGTCTGAACACAGCCAGTGCCCAAAAATAGCCAGAGAAGGGAGAAGGTGCCAGGAGGCCCCAAGAGGGGTGGGGGCCCTAGAGAGGCCTGCTGCGGTGGAGGGCTGGGTGGGCCAATGCACAAAGAGGCACCTTTACCGGGCACATGGCCCTCCCTGGAGTCCCCTCTGCCCCCCTCCAGGCTCCTGAGCACACTGCTCACGTAGGACTCAGGCTGCTGCTCCGCCCCGCCCACAGGCGGGCCTTTCTGCAAAAGCCCAAAGGAGTCCTCTTCCTGGCAGGCACAGGGAGCACACCATGTAGGGGAGTGGCCCAACCTCCTCCCTGTGTCCCACCTCTCCTGTGGCAGCCTCCTCCACTCCCCTCTAGCTCCCTGCGGGTCCCTAGGCCTCTGGCAAAGACAATGGGGGTTATTCTGGGCTGCGTAGGGGTATTTAAAGCTCTGGCTGGCCTCATCCCTGGGGAACAAGAGGCCTTGGCCTTGGCAAGACCTTCCTGAAATTGTTGCTGCCCAGACTGTCAGCGGCTGTAGACGCTATTGTTCCCACCCTCTCTTGTGAATCCCTGAGGCCCTGGGGACTCCACACAGGTCTCCTCCTCCAGGAAGCCTTGTCCTCTAGGGAGCACTGGTGGCATAGGGGTTATGCATCCAGCTGTGAGTCAGAAGGTCGGCAACTCAAGCCCACCAGACACTTGGTGACAGAAGACTTGGCAGCTGGCTTCTATAAAGATTACAACTTACAAACCCTATGGGCCCGTTCTACAGAGCTCCTGTCCACTAGACAGCAGCGATTCATTTTTGTTTTAAGGAGTGGTCCTCCAGGGTAGGAGCTCTGGTGGCATAGTGGTTACATGTTGGGTTTCTAACCACAAGGTCAACTGTTTGCAACCACCAGCAGCTCCACAGGAGAAAGATGAGGCTTTCTACTACTCCTGTAAAGAGTTACGATTTCAGAGACTCCCAGAGGCAGTTCTACTCGGTCCTTCAGGGTGGCTATGAGTTGGCATTGACTTTGTGGCAGTGAGGCTGCTTTCCTTAACGAACTGCTTGAGGACGCCCCCTTAGACGCAAAACCCCGAAAACTCAGTTGAAACCCCCCAGCCGCTCCACACGAGAAAGACGAAGCGCTGCCTGTTTCTGTAAAGGCTTGCAGTCTCAGAAACCCCCTCAGTAGGGTGAGCCCGAGTCTGCATCCACTCAGTGGCAGTAGGTTTAGTTTTGCAGATTTACATTGATCATCTCACTTAATTCATTCCAACAATTCCAGGAGGAAGGTCGTATTATTCTATTTACAAGAGAGAAGGGAGTTCCAAGTGGTTAAGGGAGTTCCAACTTGCCTGGGGCCCGAAAACTAGTAAATGGCCCAGCTGGACCCCATCAAGAAGCCCATCATCACTAGCTCACTGATGTCAGTCAGAACTGACTCAGAGGGACCATATAGGTCAGGGCAGAACTGCCCCTGTGGGCGGCCGAGACTCTTAACTCTTTATAGGAGTAGAAAGCCTCTTCTTTCTCCCCAAGAATGGCTGGAGGTTTCCAACTGCTGACCAGATAGCAGCCCAATGCCTAAACACTATACCATCAGTTTCCTAACATTGCTAGAATCCTGCATAAACACGCCTGGAATAAAAGTAGTGGAATGAGCACTGAGCTGGGTGGGAGCCAGAAGCCTGAATTCAGGCCTAACAAGCTGTGTGACTCTGAGCAAGTCACATAGCCTCTCTGGGTCTGTTTTTCTCTTCCACACTTTCGCTTTCTCAGGGTTGCTAGTAGGATTAAAGGAACTGTAAGATGGGACGGGGCAGAGGCTGTGAAGGGTGATGGGAAGAGGTGCTGGGGAGGAGCGGGGCACAGCTCTCGTTCTGGAATGATGCTCAGCAGATGCTGACAAGGGAAGGCGGGTGAGAGTCCTGGGCCCGGCCCAAGGAAGGGGCTGAGGGGTGGATTGGGAAAGTCACCTCTGGCCCTCTTCTCTCGCCTTTCCCTGCTGACAGCTGCCGGGGCCACAGCAGGCAGGGTGGGGGGAAGGGGCAGGCTGTTTGGGGTCATCTCAGACCTCCAGCTGCCAACTGCTCGAGTGCCAATCTTCTGCAGTGCCCAATGGCCTTGCAGCCCCACCCCACAGCCCTTTACCCAGTCCCTAGGAGGTCTGGGCTACGGGTGGAGAAGGCAGGCGAAGGGATCACAGAGTGGAGGAAAAGTCTCTGGGCAGAAAGAGTAAGTTGACCAGGCCTTGTGCGGAACTTAGAACCTGGGCTGTTCCAAAGACAGCTCCCACACTCCCGGCCCCCACCCCCGAAGAGGGAGGTGGTAGGCCTGTGGCTCAACCCACCCTAACCCCCTCTAGTTCCCTCTGATCCCCATGGGCCCGGCTCCAGGCGGAGCCTTCGAAGCCTGCTCCAGCCCACAAGAGCTGCTCGCTCTCCTCTGAATTGCGGAGCACCCATAATTACCACTCACCATAGTTTCCAAAGCAAAAATCAAGAAACAGACCAACAAGGAATGCGTGGGCCACTTCCAGGTGTGAGGGGCAGCCTGGGATATGTAGTTTGGCTGCAGATATTCAGATGCCTGGGGCATGGCAGGAGTTGAGTGGGAAGACAGACTATTTCTATTAATAAATCACGGCCATCCTAGGAAATGGGTGTTGGCCACTGGGAGTCGACTGAGCACTAGGGGGTCAATCCATTTTCGGTGCGGGTGGCAGTGCATGGACAGCTGGAATTTGGCTTTGGGGCCAGTCGGACCAAGGCATGAACCCTAGCCCTGCAACTTCCTAGATGTGTGACCTTTGGCGAGTCACTTGACCTCTCTGAGGTCTCTGTTCCCTTATCTGTCAAACAGGGACCTACCTCACAAGGCATCTGAGGAGGAACAACAGGACCATCTAGAAACTAGGCCCAGAGTCAGGAACTTAGTGAGAGTGTCACTTCTTCACACCCACCCTCCCTCCACACCTATCCCTCTACACATCAACAGAGGAGTCGCTCCAGAGCCACCCACTCACCCGCACGAATCATTTCTGCCTGCTCCACCACCTTGAGACTGAAACGCAAACTCACGGCCGTCAAGCTGATCCCAACGCATGGCGATCCTAGGGGACGGGTAGCAGTGTCCCTGTGGGTTTCCAAGATGAACTCTCTTTATGAGTCGAAAGCCTCATCTTTCTCCCATGGAGCTACTGGTGCTTTTGAAGGGCTCACCTCAAGGTTAGCAACCCATCGCGCCACCAGGTGTCCTAACTTCACAACTAGGAAAAGCTTCAGAGAGACCAGCAAGTATAAAGCACCAGCAGGTCCTCAGATCCTAGGCTCAACACCTGACCCGATGCCTTCACCTAGCAGACACTGAGGCCCAGAATAGGGAAGTCAGGACATCAATGGGTCCCACCAGTGATGGAGGACCTAGGTTCAAATCCTACTTCCAACACTTACCCAGCACTGGTGACTTTATCTCATGGAGCCTTATTTCCTTCAGGGCCCCAAACAGGGTTACTACTAGAGCCCCGTACGCAGTTGTTGGAGGAGAATGGGACAATGCACGCCGAGGGCGCTGACCACGGCCGGGCACGCAGTTAACTGCTCTAAGCAGGTGGTGGATGCAAACTCCGAGCCCAGTTCTCTTGGGTGCTGGCACAGGGGTCTTTCACTTCTACAGTGTCTCCTCCTTCCCTTCTTTGGGTTCAGGGACTCCCCAAGGCCAGGACAAGTGGTCACGCACGAGGACTCTGGGGAGATGACACTGGGCTGGCCTTTGCTAGATGGTACCAGGCCCTGAGGTGCCAGTTTTGGTCTCTGGGGCTGAGAATTAGTCCCTCCTGCCCCTGACAAGTGCTCTAACCCCAGACAGACAGGATCAGACAAGGAAATGGCAGGAAGGGTGGTGAGGGAGGGGTAAGTGACCTTTGCCAGCAGAAGGCATCCTCTCAGGGGCTC